TGTTCGACTATGGTTGGAGAATTCGGGTAAGTTCAATGCGCCCCTAAAAAGTGCATTGCTAAATGTCTGTTTCAAGCAATCATCCATTACACTCGTTGGAGAACTTCTCTTCAAGGTATCTGGAATCTCAGGAAAGGCCTCCGAGGTTGAAGAAGAGGAAGTTGCGGCAGGTGCGACAGCCGAGTCGTCTCGTCAAGAAGAACTTGGGGCGAAGGCTATTGATCAGACGATACCCACTTTGTTGGAAGCGCTTCGTCAGCCTGGAAAGGGTTCTGGGACTGCTCTTGAGGCGTTGCGAGAGGTCATGGTACACATGAACTGTGACGAAGCCATAGAGTCGCTAGCCTTGGCATGGTTACTTCGATCTGGTATGTTTTGCCAGCCTCCTTTCTAGCCGTATTGCTCAAAGTTCTTTAGCGCCTCCTGAAATTGGTGAACTCATCGGAACGCGAACATTCGAAGCCCTTTCCATCCAATTCTATTGGGTCCATTTCCATATATGATGCACTCTAATTTATCCGTCTTAAGATTGGGGTTAAGCCTACCTTTGCATTGTGTTTTTATCGTATCGGAGTCGACGTACTTCTCTTGCAGATACGCAAATACTAGGAGGAATGGCTCCGCCGCGGAGCGCGTGTACAGTTCGTGTTAACATTGCCTCATGCAACGACGACCAGAGCGAAGACCAAGGTGACCAAACATTTTCTCCGAAATCGTCTTTATGGTTTACTGACCAACTAAAAGACAAAATCCAGGCGGAGGATCCCAGCAGAGGCCCAATTTGGCTAGAAGCTGGCGGACAACCTCAACGCTGAGATCGTGCTTGGGACCCTCCGGAATTGTGATGAAACCGTTCAATGGCTTGGCTACTTTGCTAACCACTGACGATTGACTGGTGACTGCTAACCAGGTGGACATCCAGCTCTTGACCACGGCCGGCGATGAAACGGCGGAAGGCGCATTGTGATACGGAGGGACGAGTGAGTTGGGGTAGGGCTTCGAAAATTCGATGATTTACATCGTTTTCGTCGCTTCGCACCGATTAGGCGTGCTGGACCAGGTGCGCCCCAACTCTCCAGAGTTCTCCCAGCGGCGTCGGAGACCTCAGCATCCAACTCCGCGCTCCTCCCTTTGCCTTTATCGCAATGGGAACCCGTCAAAAGTAATTGGCAGGCCATCGTTTGTTATCCCCCACTCTCCCCCCTGTACACTCTCTTTGCTGACATGCACCACGTAGGTCAAATCGGTACACAGCCAATTGCCCGACCTTCCTTGTAGCACCACGACTCGACACATGCAGCATGATGTCCCGCCCCCCTGTACACTCTCTTTGCTGACATGCACCACGTAGGTCAAATCGGTACACAGCCAATTGCCCGACCTTCCTTGTAGCACCATGACTCGACACATGCAGCATGATGTCCCGAAGACGCTGCTGAAAGAGTCCATCTCTCAGCACCCGGTCTCTCGTTTTCATTCACTTTATCAAAAAATTGACGACCGCAATGTTCTTAAGGGACAAGCCCATCAAGAAGACAGTTACCTACTTCGTCATAATGTAAAGGACAGTAATCCGCGAGACTGCCTCCCCGATTTGGTCATCCCGTTGAGCGCTGCAGAAGGAGTTCGCGATGGGTGCCAACGAACCGCTTGCACGTAATTATGTAAGGAATCAACACACCATCAACTCTGTCATACTCTGCTCATGCTACTTCAGATCTATATTGTTCAGTCAACCAAAAGACGTCGACACATGGCGTCAGCGATTGGCGGGTTTTAATCCAGTGCGTTCATCTCTCATGGCAAAAGGTCGGAAACAAGGCGAGCACTGGAAATCCAACATTTCAGGTGGACGAGTACGACCCCTCACAGAGCGGAGAGGTAAGACGGCTCTCCTGCATTCCCTTGTTCGAATCTTACCGCCATTTTAGGTGACAGCTAAATAGACGTACGCTGGTGAAGTCGGTAAATAGGATGTAAGGCATTATAGTACAATGATACCGTGCACTCCAAAAGCATTCAAACGGAAAGAGGCTGATGCTGAAGGGCGCTCTGAGCCCCACTCACGAAACCGCAAATCTGGTGCCGCCGACCTCGCAGACCTCATATTCAAGGCCTTCACGCTGACATGCTTTTTGTGCAGCGATCTGTGGGGCGGTGTGTACTGATTAGCTGCTTCCCTCGACTTGTGCTCACTACATCAGTGATTCTATCATAGTGATATCTGTCCGCCTATCGTTTCGTTGCTGACAATGCCCGTCTTTCGCAGCCTTGGTAGCGTCACTTCGATCTGGTACGCTTTGTCAACCTCGTTTCTAGCCGCAAGTTCTTTAAATTTAGACCCTCCTGAAAATGGTAACTTCTGAGGGGATGAAAAGATCCACGCTACGACGGACTCGCGACCTTCCTTACCATGGTGGAAGATGCGAAACAAGTCGTCATTTATAACACATAACAATCCTACTAACAATCTACTTGAAAGCAATGGAACACAAGGTAGAACCGTCTATCTTGATTTCCATAACCCTGCTGGGCTGTTCATCCTCATTGCATGCGAGACACTCTATGACCCCTTGTAAAGAGTCTGATAATTCTTGTACCCACTCAGTAAGAGAAGCCATCGTCTCCGCCAAATTATCGCTCTCCTGTTGAGGGAAACAGACCATGAGACAAAATAAAGAGAAAGAAAAGGAGTGAAAGAACCTACGGAACTATCACCTTCTATATCAAATTCGGACATGGGACTCGGGCTGGTGTTCCTGGAGCTGAGCACCATGGGGAGATCCTAGATAGTTGCTGAACAAAGTTGCACGAGAAGGGCTGCAGGAAAAGTACTCACTTCCGTGCGATACTGATGCTGGTGCAATCCAACAAACACGGAAGTCGGGGGACTGTAGTCCTGGGCGTGAAATGCCTGTGCGAAAGGCAACGGGATCGTCGGGGTATCAGGACTTAGGGAACCGTGGTTCTGGGCTTGGAATGCCTCTGCGAAAGGCGACGGGATCGTCGGGGTATCAGGACTTTCAAGTTGGGTCACTGAGCTCCTTAGGTCCACCAAAGCTTGAGCGGCGCGAAGTTCATCATCTTGGAGGACTGGATGATGCGTCGTCGCATCAGTCCAACATCACTGGCAGTCGAAATTTACGCACCCTCTGGCATAACAACGTCGGAGGCCTTGTCCTCGTCTGCTACAGTGGCTCGTGACATGCGGGCGGTGGCCACGCTCAGGCTAGTTCCATGGAGATTGAGTTGGTATGGCGCAAGTCTAAGACGTCGGTGAATGGCTGAACGAACATGGCGGTGGATCATTGTGAGGACTAGAGTGGCATGGAACAGAAGGAAAGTAGGGAACGAAGACAAGGAAAAAAGATCCATGAAAAGGCGTCCTTAACAAAGAGGAGTTGGATCGTTTGGATCTACTGACAGTGACATGAGAAAGAGATTTATGAAAGAGATGGGTGTGGTGAAAGTGATCGCGAAGGGTCCAACCCCGATGCATCAAGCATGAGGCAACCTTTGCTGATGAATACTATTAGCTAACTACTGACCAATAGTTCAAACAAGCGTTTGCGGGTGATACGCAAGCCACCAAGGCCGTCCTCAAGAACAGAGAGTGGCGGGTGACGAGGAAGGAGCTTCAGGATATGTGAGCACATGTTCATAGTCAATCGAGTTCAGTACAAACGCACCTTAATTGTCAGAACCTCCACAATTGACGAAGACCCATCCGTACACAGATTACCATCAATGCTCAAGACTAAGCGAATTGCTACCTTGTTTACCTTGATACTGAAGCAGTCCGAGAAAGTACCAATGTCTGGAAATCTTGGCGGGGAAAGTGGGAACTCTTGCGATTGCTCGGCCTTGAATATTTTACCCTGCTACTACAAATGATGGATCGGTCAGTAACTGAAAACTTTAATGAGAAGTGCCGATACCTCAGTTGTTTGTTGATCGATCAGATTCAAGAAAGAAAAGTTAACGTTGAGGAGACTGCACGTGGTGGCGTATGCGACAAAAGGTGTGTGGGCACCTAAAGGGATTCAGTTTTGCAAAGACGTTTGTGCCATCCCTGGCCAAGCTTAATCAGGAGGATTGTCAAGAGGTGAATGTTCGACGACGGCCGATAGTCATGCTCATTGAAGCTAGCTAAAACTAACCATCTGGTTAGCAGTCACCAGTCAATCGTCAGTGATTAGCAAAATGACAAAGCCTGGACAAGACCTCGTGTTAGTTCTCGTGGTATTGTTTCACGACATCTCAGGCACCGGCAGGTTGGATCTGATTGAGTGACGACGCAAGGGTAATTGGTTAGATGTTGAGGTATAATATAAAGTGACCCTAATAGCGATAAGTTCATCTGAAGACCTAGAAGTTAGACGGCATCGTATATCATGTAGCAGGCAGGTAATCACCAGTCAGGAATGACGCTGCAAAAAAAATGCAATAGACCCGAGAGAGTTCAATGGAATGGGCTTCATATTTCATGAGACGATCGGAGGAACAGCCCCGCCACGCGGAGCGCCTGTAAAGTTCGTTTTTGGAGTTGGAAGAGAGGTGAAGGGAGGTATGTATAATTTGGTTGTGTTTATTTCCAAAGCTATTCCGAATATTAATGACGATCATGATCATTCTTCCACTCATGCACAACGACGACCAGGACGAAGAACAAGGCCGCCAGAGACCAAGGCCACTATCAAGGTGAAGGCCGTAGTCACTACTACTATGGCCTGGATTGTGCGACAGAGGGGTTGGATGAGGCGGAATGGTGCGTAACTACTGTAAACGCCAATCTCAATTTCTAAATTGCTGTATCAGATTGGTCCAACGCTGTCAGTAGTGGTCTTATCGGGCGCCATGATCTAAAAATGTGCCGACAGCCGTCCGATCACGTCAACGCTGGATATGTTCAAGGTTTCGCACTCGAGCTCGACGCAAACATCTACAGTGGATCCACTGCCCTCCCGATTGGTCCCACGACGAAGTCGCATCACCTCTTGGACTGTGCGTCCTTCTTCCATTCAGTATGGATACCGAAAGTTTACGAAATCTAACAGGTGCTTTCGAGCAATTCGAACAGAAAATGCTTACATGGACCTACATCGCTTTTTCCAGTGTGTATCGACCAAGCTTGCGCCCTTGTTGCAACGATTAAGGCACATGCCCTTCCTGGATTTCTCCGAAATCGTTTCAACGGTTTACTGACCAAATTGGAAGACCAAAAACAGGTGAAGGTTCTTCTTCCCGAACGCGCTGCCGTGCAGGTCTTTCGTCGGCTGCGGCTGAATGGCTGCGTATCGTCCAGCACCAGATGGCAACGATGCAGACAATGATACCGAGGCACGCTCTTCACTCGAGTGTGCACGTCCTCCTCCTCTTCCCCTTCCTTCTTCTTTCAAGACAGAAGCAATGTTCCACGTTCGTTGTACATTCGAGAACAAAGGCGCTATACACGACGATTCGGAGGCAAGTGTTCCACTTTTTTTCAAGGGTGCGCTCAATCTTACAGAATATTAGACTACCTCACAACGTTACCTCAATGAACCCTGGTCTTGTGGTTTTGCCAGGGAATAAAACTTTCAAATTTCTTCAAGCCGACAAATGTGCCAACATACTCCATTCTTCGGTTCGACAAGGGCAGAAACGAGAGCTTACACATGAATTGTGACGAAGCCGTAGAGTCGCTAGCCTTGGCATGGTTACTTCGATCTGGTATGTTTTGCCAACCTCCTTTCTAGCCGTATTGCTCAAAGTTCTTTAGCGCCTCCTGAAATTGGTGAACTCATCGGAACGCGAACATTCGAAGCCCTTTCCATCCAATTCTATTGGGTCCATTTCAGTTTTTGCAGCGCCAATCCTTGACTGCTGATCGTTAACCTGACTGCTACATCATATACGATGCACTCTAATTTATCAGTCTTCAGGTTGGGGTCAAGCCTACCTTTGCATTGTGTTTTTATCGTATCGGAGTCAACATGCTTCTCTTGCGGATACGTCAATACTAGGAGGAATGGCTCTGCCGCGGAGCGCGTGTACAGTCCGTGTTAACATTGCCTCATGCAACGACGACCAGAGCGAAGACCAAGGTGACCAAAGATCAACACCACTATCAAAGCAAGAACTGCCATCGCCAAGGCTGTTGCAACGAACAACGGCTTCGTGGCACATGCCCTCCGTGAATCTCTCCGAAATCGTTTCTATGGTTTATTGACCAACTGGAAGACAAAATCCAGGCGGAGGATCCCAGCAGAGGCCCAATTTGTCTAGAAGCTGGCGGACTACTTCAATGCTGAGATCGTGCTTGGGACCCTCCGGAATTGTGACGAAACCACTTAATGGCTTGGCTACATTTACCCGTGCGTGTGTACCTTCCTTTTCTCCTCTTCTCCCGAATCTAACATTTGTTTGTAGCTTTATTCGCATCGAAGCGGGCTGGAGAGTCGAAGACGCTGATGCAGAGGCTGAATCCGGATCGAAGCCAAAAGGCGGGTAGGCGTGGATTACCAAGAGGAGGATGTCCTCACGCTGCTGCTGTAAATTCATGGCCTTTTAGGGTTTGTCCTCGTCGCTGACCTGGTCTTTGTGCAGCAATCCGTGGGCGGTGTGTACTGATTAACTGCTTCCTTAAGACAGCTCTCGACCCTTTTTGTGGGTACTATTTGTCCTCCCATTGTTTCGTCGCTAACAATGCCCGTCCCGTAATACAGGAGAATGCTGTCGTTCCCCATGGTCTCATCGGTCATTCAGGCGAGACTGGTAGCTACCACTTACATCATGTACTCCTGAGCTGTACCATAGAAGTTCCTGCTTAGCTACCGTGAATGAAATGAAATGAATTTTCATTCATTCACGGCACCTGTTTCATTCTAGATAATTTATTCTGTTTCATTCATTCCTGGTGACTGTTTCATTTTTTTCTTTCATTCCACCAGGGCAACTGTTTCATTCCTTGCTTCATTCTTCTCAGGTGCCTATTTCATTGTTAGAGCTGGGAAAATGATTATGTAATTGATACAAAATATTTAAGTGCCTTATTTGGCAACAGCATGCCTATCTCATTGTGTATTTGAGCCTCAAATGCAAAAGTACCCCCATATGGCCTCCCACACCACTGCAGTAGGGCACAACACATATCAGGCATAATTGTATATTATTTCCTTATTTAGATGTGTGTTAAAACATCGAAATTGTTGCCTGAAAGAATGAAACAAAAATGAAATAACTGCCTGGAAAGAATGAAATGAAAATTCCATGGCAATGAATGAAGAAAAAAAT